AATGTATTTATTTATAATTGTAATCTATTGCATTTATGGGTTATATTTCTTTTTTACCGAATTTTTTCGCGCTTTATTTTATAAAATACAAATTTTCATTTTTCCTTTATTCCCAAATTTAGTTAGAAGTTATAATTTAGTATATATATATAAATATATATATAAATATATAAATATATATATAAATATATAGTATCGAAATCACTTGATAGTATTCCCTAAATTAGGTTATAAATATAACTATTGTATCACAACAAAGAACAATAGCCAAAATTTAGAATATTTTACTTTTGGTTTTTCTTTAGATCTACGATTTTAGGTTTTCAATGTAATTCTATGAAGTTTTCATACCTTATTTTGTTTAATGTGTTTTTTTTAAACATATGTGTTGTTGTGTTTTTTAGAATGATTTTAGTGTTTTAGTGTTTTTTGTGTTTAGTGTAATTATGTAAGTGTGGTGTGAGCGATGTGGCAAAGTGAATGACAAAGTGGCGCACCGTGCCATATAAACTTTATTATAGGGGGTAATTTGGTGTTATGGTAACACGTGATGAACAGAATTTTTATTAATTGTATTGAAAATTATAAACGTATATGCTATGGCTATTCCATTGATGCCTATAAATGAATGTATATTCCGTAACATGTTAAGAGATTGTTTAGATTATCATTTATTGATTGATCGATTGAGTTGATAAATAGATAATAAATAACATCATTCATCATTAATTCATTCATTGAGTAATCTTTGAATTAAAACTTTATATTTTTTGGAATATCACAAGACGTTAAAAAACGACAATTCGAATATTTTTAGATACTTGTTCTCTAAAAAAGAACCGAAAAGAAAAGAAATTCCCGTTTTTAATGAAACATTACACATTAGAATTGGAATAAATCATTTATTATTCAACACTTATGATGTTTATTATTATAAAGTTTATTATAAAATAATAACATTATATTATTAAAGTATATTATTATATTATTTTATTATTATATTATTACATTATTTATTATTTTATTATTTTATTATGTTGTCAAAGTCAATATGTTCAAATATTTCAACAAATATTTCAAGCATAAGATAATAATCGAAGGAAAAACAAAACCAAAATAAACATTACAAAAACAAAAAATTAAAGAATCCAATTAGAATTTCGCGTTTGTTTTTTCTTATGTTCTTAGAAAGGTTAAATCATTTTAATGATCCAATTTGGTATCTCAGGTTTATATACTGTATGTATTTTGTTTTGCTTATGCTCGTGTTTTTTCAGAGATTTTCTACTTTATTTGAGTAAATATTACGTGTAAATGTAAATAATAAATAATGGATATAAATAATATATAAATAATATATAAATAATATATAAATAATAGACATGAATTACTAAATATAAATTATTTTATATAATTATTATTACAGATGTGTCATCACACAACTTTATTCTTTCACTAAAATTGGTAATTATAAAAAGATGAACCAATATTAACCTATTTTCCAAGTATTACTGACTTTTTAAATCAAAAGCGAAACGAATAAAAAAAAATAATAATTTAAAAGATGTTTACAACAACAACAATTCTATTTTATTGTTATAATACTTTTCTGTTTATAATTGAACTTTTTTTTTGCAAATTTCTTCTCATTTTTTCTTAAAAGTTTGCATTTTTCGAAAATTTACACCATCATTGTCGTCATTCACAGATTATCGAATTAAAATTTAGAAATAGGAATTTAATAAAATACATACATTTATGCATGAGTATATATTGTGCATAATTTATTACTTAGATATCATTCATAAAAAAGTTGCTCAAAATGTTTGTTGATAATTTATTTTTATTATTATTTTTATTATTTTTTTTTTTTTGTTCTTCGCGAATTCTTGGAACTCTCTTGAATATAATAATCGTAAGTGTTTGTATTTTCTTGATATTTCTTGGATTCTAATTTTTTTGTTAAATTTGGTTAAAGAAAGTAAAAGAATAAATTAAATAGATTGTTCATATATAGCTTTGACCAATTTACCCCTATTTTTTTAATGTAGAATATATTTATCACTATATATGCACTTCGAACCCTTGATTAATTTGGAAAATTTAAATAATTAGTAAATAAAGTAAATTAATAGGTATTAAATTTAATTAAAAAATGTGTGTGTGCCAATGTGTGGCTCGTTCATTTATTTGTTTGGCGTGTGATTATACAAATGAATGCATGATTTTATTCATATAACAATTTTTTTAAACCCGTAAATCCAACAGGTTCTCGGATAATTTTTTTATCTGTTTCTTAATTTTATTCTTTGTTTTCCATTAATAGTATTTTTTTAAAAAAAAAATTTAATATATTCCGACGCTTTATGACATTAAGATTTATTATCAAGTTATTATTTCATTCGTTATCACAGTATCACATGTTATTAATTAGTAGTAAAGTTGAGATTTGTAAAAATTTATATCGTTGTATTATTATTAGTTATTACCAGATATCATATTTTATGATTTATACTTACTTGGAAAACAAAATAGATCAATGACATTACCAAATAAAAAATCAAATTGCTTAATAATAAAAATAATAAAAATAATAATAATAATATATAAAAATATTTGCTTTTTGAAATGAACTTTTAATTTATATACCAAACAATTAACAATCTAATTACACCTTAATTATACTTTAAACTACTCAACATTTAAACTACACTTTTAATTATACTGTACATAGAAGAATTCTCATATACAAATTAATAACAGATAAATAATAATAATATTATATATTTCAATGTTTATTTCTTCAAATTGAATATATTCGCTTTCTCGTTATAAAATTTAATTTATCAATGAGAAAGTTAATGAAAGTTAATATCATTATCTTCATCAATCATTTGCTTAAAACAGAACAATAACTTCATATATCAGATTATTCTCAGATGATATATATTTAAAAATAACTTTTATAACTTTTATAGATAATAGGAAGGACAACATGAACATGAAAGAGAACGGAAATTATGAAAGATAAAAGGAAAAAAAAATATTTTTAATAAATCACAAATATATTATTATATAAATCTAAACGAGGTTAATTAAATTTAATATGAATGAATATTTATTGTATACTCGAGAAATTTTTGAATACGAGTATACGAAAGGAGGGGGAAATATTTGATTTAAAAAAATCAATAATTTTATTTTTTTTTTTTTAATAAATTTGAAGTTACTAAATTAGGTTTACTAAAAAAGAAAAAATACTTAGCACTTTACCCAAAAGAGTCACTAAAAATATATATATATATTATGTCCCCGTGGTCTAGATATTTTTATTACCAAAATTTGCATTCTCAAATAAAAATTATAATTGCACATTTTTGGTGAAGTGTAACGGAGTTTACCGAAATGTAAAGCACATTTTTTGTTTTAATTTGTTAATCTTCTTCTCTTCCTCATCCTCAAACTCCCAAATAATGATAATAAATACTTAATAAATCATACTTAATAAATCATACTTAATACAAAGTTGGATTAGTTAAGATAACGTGATTCATAAGAGTTTTGTTATCCGTTTTAATATTTAAATTCCTTTTTTTTTTTAATCGATTACAAAGATTTGTTTTTCTTCATTATTTATTTTTAATTATTACATTATTATTATTATTATTATTATTATTATTATATTATTATTATTATTTTGATTATTCATTATTTTAGTTATTTTAATTATTTTATTACATTAAATTTAAATTTATTTACATTTTATCATTAATTCCGGGGTTCTTTTTGATTGATGAACAGCCACATTTAAATAAAGCCAAATACCACAAAATAGAAAAGAGGAGTACACAGTATACCCATATATAGATAACAAAATTTTTATTTAAATGGATTTTTTAGTTTACATTTCGCTTTTAAAATAAATATATAAATTATTTTTTACTATATATTTTATGTATTTCTTATATTTTAAAGTGTATATTTATATTTAATTTATTTATATTAATACAGTTAACGGTGATAGTGACATGTATTTATGTATTGTAATTTTTTTTTTAAAAAAAAATTATATATAATGTATATAAATTATATTAAATTATATAAATATTTTTATATATAATAAACCTCCTTTTCTCTTTCAATTTTTTTCAAAAAAAAAATTTATTTTGTTCTCTTGTTTTATTATAAGAGATAGTAAGATTGAGTTTTTTTAATTTTTGCTTTCACATAATATATATAAAAGTTGCGTCTTTGAGATTTTAGATATATATAAAAATATATATATAAAATACTCGTTCGCTTCTTTTTTACTTTCTCAAATATTTCTTATTCTTAAGTCTTTTCGTCAGTTTTGTATTCTGTTGAGATTTTATTGATTTTATTCATTCTTCGAAAGATTGATGATACATATTCCATTAGCGAAGTTAATCGACATCTTTCTTCTCAACGAAAAATAAAAAACTAAAATTTAAAATTAAAATACGAATTATTATTATTACTTTGATAAATATATACATATATATATATAATTTGGTAATTCATTTAATTAATTTGTCTTTTATTTGGCGATTCTAATTTCTTTGATCTCTCTCACGTCATTAGCTTATATATTATCAAAATCCATACAAACAAAATAATATTTTATCAAAATAAAAGTAGATTACATTTATAATTTTTTTTTTTCAGCGAAAAAAAAATATATTAATATTAGAGTCATATATATATATATATCAAAATATACAATAGAATTCGAATTCTTGAATATTCAAGCTTTCAATTCAAAAAAAACCTTTTCTCTTCTCGAACCACAAACTTTTTTTTTTTAAAAAAAAAACCAAAATTCAAACAACATCCAAGATAATAACCAAATAATAAACCAAGATAACCAAAGATAACCAAAGATAACCAAAGATAACCAAAGATAACCAAAGATAACCAAAGATATCCGAGACACCAAAACAAACAAACAAACCAACAAACAAGATAAAAATAATAAAAAGATGGGTCTTCGAACTGATCAAAAACGAGTTATTCTTCCCGTCTATAAACCAACAGATCATACACCATCGGTATATAAAGATCCACATTCTGATCGATTAATTCCTGTCCAATATTTTCTTAACAATCTTGATGATATTGGTCCAGTTCATTGGGAAAACGAACGGACAGCAGATTTTTTCTTAAAAATAGTTAGTTGTGAAGAAGTTGATTATTGGTGTGAATATTTTAATAATTTAAATCGTAATTTATTATTATATCAGAATCACATTCGACAACAACAACAACCACAACGACAACAATCACAACAACAACAAAGTTATAATAATACAACACAAAAATTAAACACATCTTCGTCATTACCTAAATGTAATAATAGGAATATTAATGCGTTAGAAGCATCAACTATAACGAATTATTTTAATATAATGATGTTTAATTATCATCAATTATTATTAAATAATTTCAATTTACAACAACAACAATTACAAAATTATTATCAACATAATAATAATTATGATAGTGGTTTTATGACTCCCCCTGATTCACCACAGAGAGAAGAATATTATTGTAATCATCATAATCATAATAATACTTCAACATCAATTCCACCGATTACAAATAAACCAACTTTCACTAATTCCTCAAATCAAACTTCACAATCTTCATCTTCTTCATATTATTTCTATACGCATACGCTGATACTTGCATCCCAATCGGGATTCTTTAATCAATTATTTGGACCAATAAATATATCGACTTCATCTACATACAATTTACATCAAAATCAATCACCACCTCTTTCACCTCTTTCACCCACTTCCCCTCCTCCTTCTTCTTCTTCTTCTTATTCATCTCAATTTGATGGTTCTAATAATTTTCCCACAACTCTAACAATTCCAATTCCTCATCCGGAATGTTTTGAAATAATATTACATTGGCTATATCATCATGATGATGAATTATGGTTAGACGTAATAACTCCTGATAATTTCACAAAATTTTATGAAAATGTGAAATTCTTAAAGTTAGGAAAAGAAGCTTATGACATTTTAGATAGTTATATAGCAGAAGCTGAAGAAGACGGAATTGAAATTGTAGGAGAAGGAATTATAGAAATTTATTAAAAATGTTCAAGCTTTTGATTATCCTTTCATAAAAGTATTATTTTAATTTAAATTTTTAATTTTTCAAAAAATGCAATAATAATAATAATGACGACGATAATAATAACCACAACAATAATAAAAAAAGCAAGCTTTTTGTGATTTTTGTGTTGATTAGCTGTCGATTAAAATTAATTAGAAATTAATTTAAAAAATTAATTAAAATCATTAAAATCAAACACCACACCCGTTCTCTTCTGGAAAGTCGACGGAAAATTTTGATTCTAAAAAATGTAGCAAAAAAATTTGCTTGACAAAAATAGCCATCAGGAAAAAAAATGAAAAATTAAATAAATTTTTTTTTTTTAAAAAAAAAAAAGTTCTCTCAATTTCTTCGCCGAAAAAAAAAAATGACCAACAAAATATATATTTTATATATATATATGTATAACATTGAATATTTTCTGGTATTTATCCAACGATCAAAATATGCTAAACAAAATCTTTTAAATTATTAAACCTTACGATTTACTTTTCCTTTCTTATATCTTAATTTTTATATATATCTTTTTTTTTATATTATCTATGCTTTCTATCTATATATATATAACAAACAAAAAAAAAAATTATGGTTTATATCAAATTTAATTCTCGTTCTCGATATTTTTTAAATATATATATATATATACATTTCAGTTCAATTCAGATAAAAAAAAATTGAATTAGTGAAAACATATTTATATTTTTATATCTCTATAGGGTATTTTATCTTTATTTACAGATTTCTTTTTATATATCAGAGATATCAGAGATACATTTATATATCTCTCTTTAAATTTATATGTATATATGTATCTCTCTTTATAGGCTTCTTCTTTAACTCTAATATTTTTATAGGTTTTTTTTTCTCTATTATCATAAATTCTTTATGTCATTTTCCTTTATTATTATTATTTTTTTAAAAAAAATTCCATTTATTTGGAAGTAGATCTTTTTAGGATGAGAATTTTTTTTTCAAAAATATATATATATATAATTAGGAAAAAAAACACACACGAACACATTTATTTTTTATATACTATTATTTTTTTTAATTTTTTTTTTCATGTCCATTTTTCTCTTTTTCTCCTCCCTTTTTTTATGTAAAACTTTTTTTTTCTTCCTTTCTTCCTTTCTTCCTTCCACATGTATAATACATCTCTTCTTTTGTTATTATTTTTTTTTAAAAAAAAATTTATAAGAATTATATAACTATATATATATACTGTATACACATTACATATATGTATATAATGTTTTTATCTTGACAAAAAATTAATAAAAATAATAATAGTAATAATAAAATTTAATAATAATAATAAAATTCAATTTAAATCGAGAAAATTTTGTCCTATGCTAATTTATATATAACAGAATTATCAAATTATTCTTTAATAACGCTAAAAATTAAAATAACTGAATGCTGAATTAGTTACAAATATTTAAATATTTATGTAAATATGTATGCGCGTTTTTTTTATTTATTGTCGCGTATCTATATTTGCAAATTGGCGCAGCGATCATCAATGATTATATTCAGTTAGTATATTTGATACTTTCTAACAATTATTATTCGAACAGTTGAGTAATAGTAGAATAGCGATAATGAAAAGTAGAAATAGTAGGTAGGAATGGTAGTAGCGGTAATTAAACGATGTGATCTTTAACTATTATTGAATAACTCAATCAACCACACAGATCACACAGAAAAGCAAGCCTTGAAAGAATACAAAAATGGTATAAATGGCGTTATTTTTTTATATATAAATATTGAATATAATATATATAAAATGTATAAATAATATAATTTATATGGTGAATTCTATTGTAATCATTTTCATCTTTTTTTTATTATTTTATTTCTTTTCTTTTCATTTATCCGTTATCGTGTTTTAGAATTTAAAATTTTAAGCCACCTCTTTTCCTTTCACCCCTTAAACGGATAAAGAAAAAAAAACGGATAAAGAAATATTTTTTTATTTATTTTAATAAATTAAGGAGAGAAATAATAGAGATTTGTGTGTGTGAATTGTATTAATTAATTTTTCTTTTAGTTATCTATATTGGAAGTTCCTTTTATGAGTTATAATAATTATTTTTTTTTCTTTCTCTTGAATGAAAGAATTATAAAAAAAGATCATCAAGTAATATTACATAAAAATATATAATAAGTTGCATAAATAATGTATATAAAATAAAAAAGGTTACTTAAGGTTTCTTTTAAATCGATTTTTTCTTGGATAAAACTTGTTTATTTTCGTGTTCTTTACACAATGTCATATGAAAATGAAGAGGCGGTTTTTATTCAGGAATATTAATCATTTTAACAGCTCCAAGAAAAACCGATTATGTGCTTGGTGAATATAATGATCTTTTTTTTTTAAATTAACAGATAAAGTTCGAATTCTTTTTTTTATTAATTTACAATTGATATTTTAATTTATAAATTTCTAATTTAATCATATTTACCAAGAAAGAAATTATTATAAGACGAAGTATCTGAATAACCGAAATAAAACCTTTATTAATAATGTTTACACAATGCATGGTTGTTTGTAAGTTCCTGTCTTCCGAATTTGATCGAAAATAACAATTACATAGTTCATTATAATATTATAGTTGTGGATGTGTTTTCCTATCCTCCTTTTTCTCCTCATCTTCTCCTTCTTCTCAATTGAACATTATCAAGAAAATATGAAAAGAAATTAGGAATTAGAGATAAAATAATTCATGTTATATAATTATTATTTTATTTTTATTACTATTTTATTCTATTCACATTATTGTTATTCTTTAAAATACAAAAACACAGATCATGCAAAAATTGTTTTTTTTTAAAGTTGATATTAATACTTGTGACTTATTATTACACCGTGGTGATACGCGTGTTTAATGTATTTGAATCTTTTAAAATAAATTTCCAATAAACTAACAACATAAAATAATATTTATTTTGAATTTATATTCTCGGGATAGATTCTCTTATCACGTGTAACTGAAAATAATCATTGTTCTCAAAAGGATAAACTATGGAAAATAAACTTGGTCTTCAAACCATGTGACTTTTATAAATTTATTTTTACTATTTTATTATTATGTTAATTCGAGAATAATTGTGAATATATTGTACAATATGCGAAATAAATTTGGACAACAAGAATATGCGAACTGGGAACAATGATTATATTTTCATTATTATTATTTTTTTTAAAAAAAAATTATTCACACCAAATTTTTATTCATTTTTACGAAACTGATTATTATGTCTATTATTGTATATTATTATATTAAAATACTTAAAAATACTTAAAAATAATTAAAATACTTTAAATAGTTTAAATAAAAAATTTCTCGTTTTTAAACTGGTTTAATGATTAAGAAATTCGGTATCATTGCACTTATGATTCAGCATATCACAAATGCATTATTATCTAATTTAATATAATGATCTCATACAGTACATTTTATTCTCATTTAAAGTTGTTAAAGTTTTCCTCCCTGTCATATGGTAATACCACAGTAGAATAATATCCAGATATTTTTTTTTTTTGATAACTCTTTTTGTGCGACTAAATCTTCCTCAATTTTATAGTAATAGAGAGAATTACAATTTTAGGTAACAAGAAAATTTTATTTAATAACAAGTTCTTTAGACATATATATATAGAAAAGAGAATAAGGATATATATATATAGACGAATCTCTATAGTTATAATAACAATATAATAATTATAGTTGATAATAAAGTTCAAAAAATATTTTCACTTTAGCAAGTTTATAATAATAATAATCATCATCTTTTAAAAAGAAATGAAGGAAAAACAGGATTCGCAGGATATTGGAAGTACAGGTAATAATATGCGATTCTTGTTCAAATTTTCTCCCTCTCTTTCCCCGTTCCCCTCTTCAATAACAATTATGACAATTTCAATTACAAAAACTACCAAAAAAAAAAAAAAAACCTCCGCGGTTCACAACAAAATATCATTATATTTACTATTGCATATTACATATACATATTATATTTTCATATACTTTACATATTAAAAAAAAAATACATCGTGACTTTATTCCAGACAATTTAATGCGTCATTCACTCTATAGCATACGCACATACACATAAAAAATGCACACAAACTAAATGATTACGCGGTTTTTACAATAATAAATCGCGTAAAAAATAGAGTTTAAAGATTTTCATGAGGAATTGCATTTTATTCAAAAAAAGAAATAGATAAAGTACATCAATATCAATGTTAATACCAATAATAATTATAATATTGAGGATGTTTTAATTAATCACAAATCACATTAATAAAAACTTTTTTAGTGGGAGAATAAATTCAACCTTGGATAGAAGAGCAAAAAAAAAATTTAATTCACCCATAAAATATTAAAAAATTGCGATGATTGTATTTGTTTTGGACAAATATTTTGATAAAGTATTTAATAATAAAATATATAAGAATTAAAAAGTATGATAGATAGAATGAGAAAAAAACCTACCTTTTTTATATTTGTAATTTTTATACCTTATGTAAAGGCCTTATCTGAATATGCAAGTTCAGCAAGAGTTTAGAATATCTATAAATTGTTTTCTTAAAAGAATCGAATCTTCTATTAGTCTTTTTAGTAAGGATTTCTCCAAACGTTCTTTATGCACTTTTATCATAATCATCATTATTATTGCTTTTACCGAAACTTCTCTAGCATAAATTAAAACCCTATAATCTGCTATAATTTGTTTATAGTAACCACAAATATTAGCTTTTTGCATTTTTAATAAACTTGTGACTTATATCACAACGGAAAAAAAAATTCCCCTTTTTTTTTTGAGTAACAGTATTGCAGAATAAAAAAAAAATTGGAAAATATAAATTTTCTTTTTTCTTATTTTACTTATTTTATGTTTTTATAAATATATAATAAAATTTTACACATGTAAGCACGTATGACGTTTTAATCTTTAATCTATATGCATAATTTAATCTTAAACTTTTCTCAAAGAACTTTTGCATTATGTAAAAGTGCTAATAAGTGCCAAGATCTCGGTCTTTGGGTTATTATAAAGACTAATGAAAAAGGAAAATGATCATCTCGAACTTGTTTCTTTCAATCTCTGTTCTTAATTCATTACTTTTCAATAACAAATAATAATATGCTTCATTATTTTATTTATTCTAAAATAATTTCGTGTACGATAGTATCTTTTACATAAATTACTTAACTAATTATCCCTTTTAAAAAAATAATAAATAATAGTTGGATAAACTTTTAAACCATTTATGATAAATCATACGAAACTTTATAATTTAAGTCAAAATATAACTTGTATCGAAAAAAAAATATGATAAAACTTAGAATAAGAAAGGTAATGGCTGGTGGTTACTAAATAAATATATCAATATGCTCTGTATCAATACAAATAACTACAGAGTTATTTTTTTTTATTTATTTTGAAGTAAATAACAGTTATATAATAGTATAAATAATTCCTCTTCGACGCGTCAATTTGACTAATTTAGAATAAACCAATAACAATATAATACCTGAATAAGAATTAATGTATACTTAATTATTTTTACTTATAAATTAAGTTCGAATCTTGGAATTTTTCATTTATAAAAATAAACTATACTAAATGTGGAATCAAAGGAAAGAATATTCTTTTCTTTTTTTTTCTCTTCTTTTTTCTTCCTTTTTTTTTTTGGGAAAACATATAATAAAAAAAAAATTCAGAATATTATAAAACAAGGAATGTAAGTGGTCAGTAACATGGAATGTATATGTGCGTATCTAAATCACGTTTCTTATTATTACTCATTTTCACGTTTGTTCATTTAAAAGTGCATTTTTAGCCGGAAAGTTCATTTTTATATAGATTAAATAAATTAAATGAATATTTTATTGCACATATTTAATTTTCAAATTGATTGATTTATCAGAAATCATCTTCAGATTAAAACTTTATTTACTTTATTTTCTCTTTGTACTATATATTATGAATATATTACGGATTTATTCACTTGGTAGTGTTGTAATGCTGTATTGACTTTAATGACGCGAAAAAGTATTGTCACGTGAATGTATATGTATTTATTTTGAAACCCCACAAATACAATATATAATATAATATTATAATATTTTTATAATATTATCGAAACCTAAAATCAAATATATATATATTATTAAATAGCATTATTTTATTTTTGATGAATTGGGTCTTAAGATTCATCAAAATTCTGTTTATTTATTTATTTATTTAATGATTGAAATAAACTTTATATATATTATATATAAAATGTATTATTATATACTGCATATATAAATCTTATATCAAGCTTTTTATTAACTCTTTATAATTAATTAGAGTTGAGTGTTCTAATGTAAAAGACGTGTCACACAATATTTTCAATAATGAAAAAAAGTTTTAAAGCGCCCAACCACAAAACACAAAAAAAACGAAAAGAAGACGATTGTTCTTTTTTGCACAATATCATATATATATATATATATTAAAACAAATTCAGTTATCATCTATCAAATGAAAAATTTTTAATTTAAAAAAAAAAAATCTATTATTTATGCCAAAATTAATTGTAAGATTATAGTACTCCGAAATAAAGCTCATAACTATACACACACAGATAACAGCAACAATGCAGTCCATAACTTGTTCAATACTGTTCTTCTATTTTCTATTCTTTCTGTTCTTTTCATTAAATATTCCTTTGGTCGGGTTCTTTGAAATATGTTAATAATAATGAACCTAAATTTAGTAATAATATTAATAATATGTATTATCTATCTAATGAAATAATTGACTGAAAAATCTTAATTTTTTTTTTGGGTTTCCTTTTAAAGAAATCATTTATTAGCGTTGGTGTCATTTAATATCTTATTTTATAATCTCATGAATTTAAGGTTCTAAAGATTTCGATAATGTTGTTTAACATTGCAAGAAAATTTTTTAAATGATAAAAATATTGTTTATCGTTAATAAATTTTGAGTTTATTAAGATTACCAATTTTGGAGTATAGGAATATATGAATATATGTATTATATATTATCTATATTTTGATTCTCCAATAATTTTGTATTGATATATATTAGAGTTTTGCATGTAAAAAAGTATGCAATCTTCAATGAACTATTATTACTATAAAAAAAAATTGAAAGAGGAATTTTTTATTCGTTAACATCTCTTTTTAACTGTGTTATGTATAAACAGCTTTTCTCACTAATTATTACTTTCTAATCTATTGGTTATTAATATTTTTAAATTTATTAATAATGACCTTTTTTAAAGCAATCTGGGCGCATAAAAATAAAAATATAAAAAATGAATTAAGTATTAATTTTTGAATAACGTAATATAAACTTTTTATTATTATTTTTCTATGTTTAATTTTAAACTATGATTTTCGTGCCGTGTTATGTCATGGCAAGTGATGTTGTTATCAAATGCTTGTATACTATATGCATCAATAAATATATATATAAATATATATATATTAATGAATAGAATGAGTCGTCTTTTTCAATTCAATTTTTCAATTTAATCATTTTTAATTTAATCGCTTTACTTCCATCTATTCTATTATTATATTCTATTCTATTTTATTCTATACCATTCATTTCATATTTGTATTCATTTATATGTTTATATCATATATATTAATTCGCCACTTACTCAAAAATTATATTATATATGCAAAACAGCAATCAATCATCGACGAATATTACTATTACAAGAGAAGAAAAAATAAAGGAGAAAAAAAATGGGATCTAAATCAGTACAAAGATTATCTCTTGAAAATAATGCTGAAAAATATAGTACATAGATATGTAGATAACAATTTTTTTAAAAAAAGGAATCTTTTAATTAATGTAGTATTATTTTATTAGTAATTATAATAATTATAGTTATAATTAAAGTAGAAAACATAATCCAATGAAGAAAACTTGATGTTATATAAAGTTTAAGTTTTTAATATATCAAGTTTTAATTGTTTAAAAAATATTACTTTGCATAGTAGTATAAAGCTCTAATATTTCCTCCCTTTTAATTCAAAATGCAATGATTCTTATACACAAAGAAAAGATACTACTTGATTATTTTAAATAACTGAATTGTAGTCTGTATTAATCTTTTTTTAAAAAAAAATAGTTCTTCCTCCTTTTTATCATAATAAATACATGTAAGATTATGTATTAAGATTTTTTATATACAAATTTTACACTGTAGTGATTACTTTAACATATAAACAAAAAATCATTATTATTAAGTTGTGTGTACGTAAAGCTTTGATTTTATTCTAAAAAACAAAGTTTGATTAAAAACTACAAATTTCGTAAATTTTAACCCCTGTTATTCTTCAATTCTCTTCTTGTGTGGCGTTGAAGTTTATCATTTGATAATAAGAATAAAGTAAATCAAAAAAAAAAAAACTTAATCAAACTTAATCAAATAATAAATAAAAAAAAAAAAAAAAAAGGCATATACTGATCAAAAACTTAACAATGATTAATGGCTGATTATTTATTTTAAAAAAACTTTTGTTCTCCATAAATGAATCTTAACTCAAGAACCTCTTTGATTGATTTAAACAATATTAAAAAACATTTGCACTACAACATTATATAAAAACTTTTATGGAATAAATATTACATCACATAAACATCATGCGTTGAAGAAATTAAAATAAATTTAATAAATTTATTTTTATTTTGGAAATTCTTGCTATAACAACTATTATAAATGCTACATGTAAAGATTAAGGTTGTGGTAAAAAATAACTTTAAAAAGTAAGGAGAAAAATAATAACACTGCAGATGTTATTTTGTATATATAAAGAGAGACACTGTAGATATACATTTGTGTTGCGGATAATGTTGAATACCATCCGTATAATGAATTTCTTTTAAGGGGAAAAAAAGGATTGATATGAGTTCTTTTCTTAATACTGTGACAAATTCATTATTTATTTATTATTTTTATTATTTAATCTACATAAAAATATATACAATAAATAAAGGAAGAATGAATTTCATGTATTTATTTTTTACGTGATTTACGTGTGTGGCGCGTGCGTTTGTTTTAAATTAATTTATTTCATGTGATACGATCAAAAATAAAAATCCTGATTTCATCCGGATTATCTTTAATTCATCTTCTTTCTTAATTTGATAATAATTAGATAATAATAATAATAATAATAATAATAAAAAGGAGGTACACTTGTTTACCAAAAACATTGAAATGAATGTATGTATGAATTTATATATATATCTAAATAATGAATGAAAAGAATGAAAAGAAAGATTCCCCAGTTATTATTACTCAAAATTTTGTAGATCGTTTATGCTATTGCGCAGGAAATTCAAATAATTAAATTAATTGCGAAACGTTTAATGTTGCACGATATAATAATGTAATCTTTATCAGTTGTAAATAGTGTAATTGAACTTTAAAATTAAGATATCTCAGTAATCACTGATTGGATTTTAGTGATTAATAGGTCTTATTGAACTGAATCGGAAGTTGAAACTTTCATTTCAATCGAATTGATATGATTACGATATTTTGATTTAAACACTATCTACAACAATTATCTTCACCTCGTCTTGAATTCCTCTCATTGAGGCGAATCGAATGGTAATATTTTTATGCGGCTTGGAGCAATATTAACCGAGATTTGACAATTTATAAATCTTTATTAAATTTATAGAAATATTATAAATTATTTTAGTTACCCTAAAAAAAATGATAGTCGTTAAGCAAATTATTTATTACTTTTTATAAAAAATATATAACAAAAAATTTATGCCCCTGAATAATTTTTGTATATAGATCACTAATGAAAGAAAACTAATTCCCAAAAACGAAAAGAGGGAAAATAATTATTATTATTACACAACACACATGTTGCTGCTATATTATATAATAAAAACAATAATTTTGATTTACATATTTCTAAAATAAGAAGTAAAAAAAAAAAAAGATTATTGTTTTTCTAGCAAAGAAACAAAGAAGAGGTGTGACATGAGTTAATCCATTATTCAAGAATTTTATTCAAAGCATTTTAATCCGAGCATATTGATTGGAACTATTCATTGCCGAGTTTTTTCTTTTTAACTATTATTGATATATTTATATGTATGTATGAAAGGGAAATATAGAGTACAGAAGAGAATACGAAGAATGAAGAAAATCAAAATCTTTTACACAACATTCAAAAAAAATAATATACATATACATATACATATATATTTATTATATTATTTATTTAATAACACGAAACAAAGAAAAATGAAAAATTTTTTTCGCGTAGATGTCACAAATGTATCATATGATAATACGATTACACTAAATACACTACACTGGATACATCTGAATACAACATTAACGATGAAGAAGAAGAAGATAATGACACGTTCAGAAAATAAATTAAGTAAAAATTAAGTAATATATGGATGACAAGACAGATAATAATGATGAAACACAAAGTGGAGACAATTATATATTTTGAGAAACAAAAACAATTACAACAAAACAAAAAGAAGAAAAAAAGAGGAAAAGAAAGAAGAATGAAGAGGAAGAGGAGATGGAAAAATTTTAAGAACAATGCTTTATTGAGAAAAGTGAAGAAAAAAAAATGTTGTGCACGTTAGTTTCTTCCTATTTTACATACCCATTTTTTACATATCCCTTCATCTACAAATTCTTCAAATAATGCCGATTTTACAATTTCGGAGAACAAGAACCAGAAAGAAGAAATAAATAACAATAATAATTATATATAATTATTTACTGTATATAAAATTATAATTTTTCCATTTTTAGCATTTACAATTATTTTTTACTTTTTTGTCATTTGTATTTTCACATTACAGTTTTCTTTATCTTTTATTTATTATTAATTATATTATTATCCAAGAGAGAATAGAATATACATGAGTATATTTTAATTTATGCAAGCCACCCATCTAAATATTTATTATTATAAATTTTTCAATGATTGTATTCTTTTGGACAATATTTACGACGACGAATTAAAAAAATTTTATTAAATAGGATTTATTTATTGTCTAGTATTTCTTATTATGTTACCCTTCAAAGAATTAGAATTTAACTAAACTTGGTGAACGAATTTATATTAAATGAAAATGTTAACCGTATAATAAATATCCAAAATATATATGACATATTATTATATTAATAATAAAATTTTTAATATAATAATAAATTATAACATTAATGTTAAATCTATTTATGGAAAATTCATATAATCACATCACGAATAAGTAAAAAAATAAAATAAGAAAAAAACAAAAACGCGATTACATTAATTCAAAAGAATTATGTATTAATACCTTTAACACCTTTACAATTAACCGAAAAATTAAAATTAAATTTAGGTAGAAGAAAATTAATCCACTTTAAAATGGTAAGGTAATTCTACATTTTTATTATTTATCATTTTTGTTGTTTAAAGAAAAAATCATTATGTTAAAAGAGTTATTATTGCCAATGATAACTGGTGGGCAGAATTACAGATTCCCATATTCAATATTTCATCAACATTATTGAATTTATCACGTGAATAAATTTGTATTTAAAAGGATTTTAACAATAACTGATATTATAACAAAGAATACTTCGTTTTAAACGCATCAAAAAAAAATAATAAATGGCAAAAGGTTTACGTAGTAAAAGCAAGCGTCGTTTCCGAGCTATAAAACGACAATCCGTTTTTGCACCTGTTGAAAATGCTCGATTAGACCGGTTAGTTGCTAAAGAAGCAGAAGATATCAATACACAAATCATACATCAACAACTACAAAAAGAAGAAACTAAAGAAACTTCGACAGGTCAGCCATAATAATAAAAAAAGGATTAAACTTTAGGTTCTTCTTTGTTACCATCAAAACAAATCAATTAATTAATTAATTAATTACAGGAATGGAAGTCGATATTCCAAAGATCTCTACAAGTGGACCAAGGAATAGTAGACATTATAAAAGAAAACTTAAACGAAAAGGGATAATTGTTAAAGGAAAGAAATTAATTCGAAAAAATCGGCGAGATATTGGATTAATCCATTATAGAAGATAATTAATATTCTTATTTTTTATTTTATTATTTTCAGTAAAAATTCCATACATCAAAAAAAAAAAATATAACATCATTGATCTTGTAAAAAATAATTTTCTAATAATAATAATAATTATTATTATTGTTGTTGTTGTTATTATTTCTTTTTATTCCATCCAGGAAATCTTAATAAACACAGGATAATATTTTATTAATTAAATTAAAGAGAAATCAACAATCAAAGAAATTTAATTTATAATTTATTTCTATTATGATTATTAATATTATTAGGAAAATATCAAAAATGGTAGGGTAGTAATAACATTAATAACTATCCTTACTTAATCAACTATAATTATATATCAATTATATCAGTTATATCAGTTAAATCAGTTAAATAAAAGATTTCACAATTTCACAATATTCCAAGAGTGTGATATTTTTGCAGAAAGTTGAAGAATAATTATGGAACAGGCGTGAGGCAAATTATATAATGGCTGTAAGAAATTCTTATAATAATTGGAGTAATTAATAATAAAATTTTTTAATTTATTTCTTAATTTTGATTTTGATTTTTTTTTTTTTTTTTTTTTTTTTTTTTTTAAATTTAATTCTTTAATTTATTATTTTTATTTTTTAGATTTTATCTTGATATATTAGGAATAATTATCTTGATGATGATTATTATATTATTGTTATTATTATTATTATTTATTAATATCACCTCATTGTACATGAATAAAGAGTTCTAGTAATTCAGGTGGCAACGCATTATATCAATCATATGTTAATATTATTCAAGATTGGTAAAAAAATCATTCGTTCTATTCTATACTTCCTAGTCATAATGAATATAATTGATGAGATTAATACTAAAACTAATGATAATTTTTATTCTGAAAAAAAAGAAAAAAAAAATTTCATCCTCATTAATTAATTTTTAGATTTATTTCTATTCACACCTCTTATTATTATTGTTGTGAAAAGAAATATTTTGCTATCAGCTTTTAATTTTTTTTTTGAATGTACTGTATTGTCAATGAATATTTTAAGAGGATAATTATTATTCATATCAGATACGTTTGTAGAGGCATTGTATAAAAGATAAATTTATTTTAGAATTAATATCTTTTATTACAAATATAATTGTGAAAATAGTTGTAAAAAATAAATTTTCATAATTTAATGTAATGTATATACACATATACAATTAATTTAATTAATTTAATTAAATTTTAAATTATGCAATATATCAAACAATTATCTTAACATGCATGCATTCAGGAAATTGTTATATTATAGTATACTACTTGTGTCATATCATTTCTTTAAAATTCCATTTATAATAAATAAAATATCATAATTATAATTAATATTTCTTCATTTTTTTTTTTGGCATTCTGTTTTTTAAAAAGATCGATTCTCTTCACTTATAATAATAAATGATATATTATAATAATAATTAATGATATATTATAATAATAATTAATGATATATTATAATGTGATGCTAATTTTCACCGGTTAAATGTAGTTTTTTCTATTATAATAATAATAATAATTATTATTATTTTCTTGAACAGGAATTAGTACAATCTACGAAATACCAAAAGTTAACACAAATCTATACTATAACCGTGGTTTGATGATGTCATTCGTGTGATCTATGATTAATATGTGATTTTAGAACATTTACAGTTCGAATATTCATTCTATCCATCTTCTCATACATTAAATATAAATTATTATTTAATTTATTATTAATATAAAGTTATACGAAGATAACAGTTTTAATACTTCTTTACTTAGAAAAAAATAAAAGCCAAAATATAAACAACTTTGCCACCACCATTATTTTTACGTTTTCCATCATGTGAACGTGCCATAGAAATACGAGGCTTGGTTCAAATTATTCATTGTCGTTCTCATTCAAGCGGGCTTATTATATCCAGGAAATATCATATGATCAATATCATCAATATCATCAATATCATCAATATCATCATCTTATTTAATTACTAATTTATAATACTAAAAGGTATTATTACTAGACATTATATATTTTATAGCTTTTAGTAACATGTAACTCCATCTTTTCGTTTCTTTTCAAATTGTGATACTACAATTTTTCGCGCTACACAAAAGGTTTAGTTCTATTTTCCTGAATATACCGTGTATGAAAATATAATCACAAAATGATATTTGCAAAGAATTAATTAATGAGAGGTACCGATTATTAATGCATATTCTTGTTTTTCCATCGTCAAATTATATATATATATGCAAAAATGAATGAATTTTTTTAAAAAGGAATTTAAATTTTCTTTCCCTTTTTTTTTTTTTTTGTATTTATGGTAATCTATTTTGTATGAAACCAAGTAAACGTTTTTGAATATCATCACATTACATATATTTACATATTCAATATATTCAATACTCCAATAAAAATGAAATCGCTGTAATCGTCACGAAAGGTGAGGTGATAAATATCGACGCAGGAGAGTTTCATACTTGCATTTCGAAATCATGAAAAAAATCAAATTAAATTAAATAAACGAAACAAGGTATGTAATATGTATAATAAAAGTATTCGCGACAGGAATTGACCAAAGAAAACGAAAAGAAAAAATATATTCCCGTAAATTATTTAGAAATTTCGGATTAATTACAAATTGTTAATGGAGTTATTGTCATTGAATTTTCATTATAATTATTGTGTCCCAACTATGTTGTCATGTTTGTCTGTCTGTCGTGTTGTTATTATTTAAAATTTTCCAAATGTGTAATGTTGATGTTTATTGTTTTTATTGTATTTATTGTGATTATGTTTATTGTTTGTTGCAAATATATACCCATATATACCGATAATTAAGTGGTCAAAAAAAAAAAAAATTAATTGTTGTGTTGTAATATCTTTCTCTCTGTTCTGTACCTGTACATATATCTCTGTAATATATACAATCTCTGTTGTGGATGTGTAAACTATGTTGTAAGAGAGGAGAGAAATAATAACCGTGAAAAAAAGTTCAATTATTTCTTTCGAATACCTTTACTAATATTATTTTTATTATTTATTTTTTTTTTAATAATTTTTAAATAATTTTTTAATAATTTTTTAATAACAAAAAAATTCGCCGAGAAATTCTCATGAAATAAATTTTCTAAAAATAAAAGATACCTTATCTATTTCTATCCTATAAAAAATATCCATCATTTCATCACTATTATATCATACATATTATATTATTGTATCAGGAATGTGATAGATAACATACAATTATAAAATATTAATATAATATTGCTAACATTATGTAATACAAATGTTAAGGTCAAATATCAAGAGTCTTTGATTTACTGATGCTACATTACCATTATATAAGATGTTTTTATAATAAAGAAAAAAACTCAAGGTTGCCATTTTTTCTTCATTTTCTACATAAATGTTATCAAGCCAAGCCATTTAACACGACACAGAAAAAAAATCAAGAAATTGAATAAAAAAAAGGTTTGATCTGAGGCTTTCACTTTGTTTATCTCTTCTCGCCAATTTTATCATTGGTTTACAATTTATATAAACAATTCCTATATTAAAACCGTTTATATTTATTTATTTGATCTTAATCACTTATTTATTTACAAAAGCAAGTATTATTCATTATGACATTGATTCATTCACGTGAATTATATGAATACGTTTCTCGTATTCAACTTAAGATTTAAAGGTATTATTATTCCGCAAAAAAAAAAAAAAAAGAAACATAATGAGGTATAATGAGGTATAAGTAACCAAGAATTAAATTATAATTGTAAAAATAATGAATGCAAAAAAAAAAAATTTTAACTAAAATAATCAAAAATAATAAATGAATGTAATGGAACGTAATTAAAAATATATTACCTTAAATTACTTTATCGGGAATCCTCTCCTTTTTTCGTGAATTATTAAATTGACTTCAAATATTGGGAAGTTCCAATTACAATTTCCCAAAGAGAAAAACTCAAATTTAGTGATGCATAAATATTACTGAAATAATTGTAATTAAAAAAAAAAAAGTTTTATTTTATTTCCCCTATCCGTCTCACCCTAATTTTTATTAGTCATACATATTTTTATTTTATTTTTGCATAATTGACACATCGAATTTCATGTGGCTTTTATTAAGACGTTAGTATTATCCTGAAATTTTTATAAATACTTTACAAATTCCCTTCTCCTGAGGAAACTTTTTTCTCAGTTTTTTTTTTTTATTTTTTCTCTCTTTATTAAAAATAGAAAATTTTTTTATAAATTATAAAAATAAAAAATTATTTTTAAAAATATTTTTTAAAATTTACGAAATATTATAATATAATAATAATCATAATAAATATTGTTGTCAAAATGGTTCGCCTTAATAATTCCGTTTTTATTCTCTCAACTATCATTGTTGCTTTAATAGCCAATTCGGTTTTTGCCAGTATGAGATTTTTTTTTTTCTTTTCAAACCATCAATAAATTATAATTTTCCATATTTGGTTAGCAAATTCGTGAAATAATAATTTAATTCGTAAAAACAATTAACATAAATTAAATTATTTTCATTATTATTATTAGCTGTTACCATCAGCACTCCACTAAAGGAATTAGTCCAAAACTCGGAATACGCTATCGAATGGACATCAGATGGTTCTGATTCAACTTCAACTGGTACTCTTCGTGCTGAAAATAATGAAACTGGTGCTGACACTACCATAAGTGATAGTCTAGATATTAGTTTGGGAGAATATTTATGGACAGTTAGCGTTGACCCCGGAAATTATCACTTTGTATGCGTCGTTGGAGGGTCGACGTATTATTCCGGAAATTTTGTTGTCGTCGCTGCTTCTTCTTCTTCTTCTGACTCTGAAACCCCTACTGTAAGTGAAATTCCTACCACTGCTAGAGCGACCACCACTGGCTCTAACAGATCTAATGTCAGTTCCGGTAAAGCAAGTGCCACTAATGGTTCTGGTAAACCTTCATCTCCTGCTTCTGCTACTACAACTAATGCTAAACAAACTACAAGTAGTAATAAGGCATCTTCTTCTACGTAAGTTTCTACATATCATATTTACATTAATTATATTTTATGTTATTAAACATTATCGTATTTTTATGCATTATCATACTTATGTTTATATATATTAACTTACTCTTTTTTTTTAGTACTCCACAAACTTCTGCACCAAATGCTGGCAGTGGAGCTCAAACACTAAAACCTAATCTATTAAATTTATGTTTGGGTCTAGGAGCAATTGCTTCAGTAATAATTAAATATTTCTAATCCTTGAATTATTTAAATATTTATTCCTTGAACTATTGAATTATTCTTGAATTATTATTACTTTTCATTTATTGAATTAATTATTATACAAGAATTATTTATTAATTATTATAATCGTTCATGAATTATTATAATTATTCCTGCAAATAAAAAAATTTCATTAGTTCAGCACGATTTCATGTTATTACTATTGCTACATAAAAAAATTTTTTTTCCCTCCAGATAACTTTTTTTTTTTGTTTTTATTCTATAAAATAAAAATACTATCTTGTTAATAATAATAATATTATTATTCCTTGTCTTCTTCATCTTATTACTTGGTGATACATTATATATATAAAATTTATTTGACAACAATAACATATTCAAATAAATAAATGAATATGTGAATATGTGATGAATGAAAACAAATAATAATAATAATAATAATGATATTTACAAAAATGTTAATGAATACAACTAACAGTAAAAGTATATTATATGTCTTTAAAAAATGGTCAAAATGTCAATAGATTACATTATTATTATAAATTCTCAAACAAGATAGAATGATGTCTATCAGAACTTGTTTCATTGCTAATCTCGATTTTGTGATATTTGAATGAATCAAACACTAGTTTGATTATCTGAAATAACCAGATTTAACTAAGGATCTTTTTTTTTAAAAAATTAATAATTTACTTCGCATATTCTTTTGCATTCATAAATTAAGATAACGGACGTAGAAAAAGAATTTAACAAAAAAAAAAAAAATAAGTTAATTATATTTTTTTTGTTCTTTTAACTAGTCAGATTTTATTTATGCATTTATTCAATTTGGTTAATAATTGCTTATTATGTATATGTATTATAGATTCAAAAATGCATGCAATCTAGATTTAGGTAAATTAGGAAATAAACAGTTGGATTTATAATTATTACTTTTATTTTTTTATAATATGAAACTGAAACAGTGTGTCTTGAGTAACTTAAAACTAGTAACCTTGAAACTGAAACTGAAATAGTAATTTGAAACTAGATAGTAACCTGTAGCGAAGTATTAACCTATAACTTAAATGATAATTCTATAAATCCGTAAAGAAATAAAATAATCAATATTGTAGAACACCAATTTGTGAAAGTAACTTATGTGACAATAAGTCAATAAATTTATGTTAATAATTGTTATTACATCTAATATGAGTAATTTAATCTATTTACATAATAAAACAAATGTAATTACTATTGGTTGAAATAATGGAAACAATCAAATGATAATAATTTCTGTTGATAGAAAAAGACTTAGAGAAGGATTTATCTTTTTTTTCCCTTTCTTCCACTACACTACATTCCATTTTATCTAGTTTATCTCAAAAAGAAAACCATTGCACTATGTCAAAAGGATTATGTAGTTAACATGAAAGTAGATTTATTATTATAAGCACTTTATCATAGAATCATGAATATGAGCATAACCCTTTTATTTGAATATATACATTATGTTATAACTATTTAAAATAAGATCCTGATACAGTAATTTGGAATTATAATAAGATTTTTAATCTGTAATATTTATAGAAATATTGTTTCTGTTCCAATACACATTTTTTACCAACAATTTTTATGAAAGTTCAATTTTTTTTAATACTATTATATATAGAATTGCATAACTAATAACATGCATTACTCTATAGTATAATACATAATATTCATTTATAATATTTACAAATTTGTATAATTTTAAAATTTTTAAAATTTAAAATCTTAGTAATTAAGTTTGTTTTCATTGAAATGAATTAAATGGTAATGGTGATTTAATTGATATTGGTGAAAGATATTTTTGATATAGACTACACAAAATATATTTTTATAATATGTAATCTTTCCTTCCTATAACAATGATCCTTATAATATTGATATCATTTAAATTATAAAATTTTATCAGGTACTTTATAAATTATAATAACGTCTCTTTTCATCTAACTTAACATAATTTTCTGGAGCATAGTTAATGAACGCGTAAGGTGATACCAAAATTATATTTTTGATATATAAATAGACAAAACATCAAAAACGTAACTTTGAAGAATGTCCGTCCGATTTTTTTGATAAATGATTATTAGATAACGATTAAAGTTGTTAGTTGAAAGTTTTACTTTAACAAGCATTTAGGCATACTACAATCGAAATATAATTTTGACAATGACTCTAATAATGTAGTAATGTAGAAATATGTCAAAATGTCTAAATGTTATCGAAATGTCTAAATGTCGTCACAATGTCTAAATATAATTCAGATTGCAGCAATTAAATTTTGATTTAATTTTGAATGGTGATAATTAATGACTGTGATTTTTAACAATATTTAATTAATAGCAATCTGAAGAAATACACAGTTGATGAGGAATTTGATGAATTTGCAAAAAATATAATAATTGAAATTTTATAGTTTAATTACAGAATTCTAATAATAAAAATAAATAAAATTGTTATTTCTTTAAAAAATTTTAAATTCTATGTTGATTTATTAATCTACTTATTTATAATATAAATACCATGTAAATAAATATTGAAACTTTGACATATATTTAGATTTTTGATCTATACTTAGACTTTCGACACATTTAAACTTTCGACACACATTTAAACTTTCGACACACATTTAGACTTTTGACACATATTTAGACTTTTGACATGCCTAATTCGAAATATTTTTGACAAGGGTGAAAAGAATTTCGACTAATAACGATCACATGCCACAATATTACATTACGCAATTTCCTAGTAGAATAAGTTTTTTGTTATTTATTTACTATGAATATGTATTATTCAGGTTATCAGCGATATATTTATATACCGTAACACCAACTAATTAACATCTACATCTATAAGAGAATTTTCGCTATTAACCAAAAACACCAATTTTAATTCTTAATCATAATTTCCATCAAAATTAGATACCAACTATCTATGGCCAGAAATTAGATCTATAACTTAAAGCAGAACCATTTTTATAATTATTAGTGAAAATTGAAACTTTACATAAAACGAAAATATTAAAAATATGGTTTTGGATCTAAAAATAATTATCAAATGTTGTTACGTATTATAGTATAGTTATTCAAGAATAATAAAATAAACATACCACATCTGCTATAAAGTTTCAGATCCATTGCTTAAGAATTAAACGAATAATAAAATGTTTTAAATTTTATATAACAATTTTCAAGTGTTTAGACTTTGACTATTCATTTCAAACTTTAAAAGTTACTTAGTATAATTTTTAATATTTGTACAAATAAATTTTAATTTGTAATGATTATTTTCGGATTTTTTTTTTTTTTTTTTTGTAAAATCTGGCTCTGCTTTTGAAAAATAGATATTATATCGATTTACTGCTCTAAATAAACTTTACTCAGAATCATAATTTTATGATATACTGTATACTAAAAATCAGAACTTTATTTAGACTCAATTAAAATGTTTGTGTTTTGCATTTGTGATAAATAAAATTTTTAAGCACAAAAGAGACTGCATTATTGTAGTAATTTTAATATAAAAAATATAATTCATAAGTATCTTTAAAACTAATTCCTCTTGAGCTTTACTTTCAAATAAATATCCTTTTTAAATTAATCTTTAATGACATTCCAAACTATGTCTATGAGAAGAGAACTTGCTGATTTTGAATGAAATTATTGGAGGAAAATTTATAGTAAGGAATTTTCTGAAATATTAGGTCATCCCAAGTTCACAGTAGGAAATATAATTAAAAAAAATATAAGGAGCAAGGTTTAACTACACAACATCGTGTTCCAGTAGACCTAAAATTTATCTGAATGTGATGAAAGAAATGTAATAAAAATTATTAAAGTAAAATAGCCTTAATACTGCAATGAACATATCAATCTCTACTAGAACAATACAAGAACCTTGCATAAAAAAAGGTTACAGTAGACATGAACCAAAAAAGGTACCTTTTATTTCAGAAATAAATCGAAAAAAAACAATTTGGATGGTGTGAAATGCAAAAAAAATTGGATCATTGAATAAAAAAAATTATTTGAAGTGATGAATCTAGATTTGAACTTTCAACAATGATTCAAAAAATTGAATTTGGTATAAAAAAAAATAAAAGATATAAAGTTGACTGTTTAAAGCTAAAGAAAGAGAAACCTTATTACAAAATTAGATGATGATATTAAGGAAATCAAACAATCTTCATTTAATACTGTTTCTTGTGAAGCAAATTCTAATGATACTCCTGAATGAATAGAAAATATATCTGATAACAAATCTAATTCTGATATATGTCAAACTAACAGATAAAAATTCAATAGGAGTTGTGATTTGTGAATTTGGAAATGTTTTTGTTTTAATAAATTGGATCTATTAGTATTAATTGAATTCTGATAGCTATATTGAATTGCTTGAAAAATATTTAATTCATTTTTAAAATTATTTAAGTGCAGAGAATCATATTTTTCAAGATAATAACACACACTTCAATTAAAGACAAGAAATTGGAAGGAAATAAATTTCTTTCATGACCTATTCAAAATTCTGATCTTAATTATCAGGAAATTTTTGAAAACAAATATATCTAGATATATTTGACCACTTACACATTTATCCATATAAATTATATTAATCTACATTAATTCACATTTATTCATATTAATTCATATGTTACACTGAATATATTCATATATATTTATGAATATATCCATATATATTTGGTTTTTATTAATTGTGAATATATCTGTATATATTTGCAAGTGAAAATTTCCTGATGATACAATTGCAAATTTGTGTTATAATAAAGGCCTATTTCAAAAAAAAACAAAAAAATTTTTTGAAGTATTAAAAGAAGAATGGAATAAAAATTGATAAAAATCAACATATTCAAATAAGTGAAAAGTATACCATAAAGAATTGTGCTACAATAAAAGAATAAAGGTAACCTTATAAAATAAAAATATTTATTAATCATTATTTTATTGTTAATTATTCTTAAGCAAAGTTTGAATTTTTACTAGATATAAATAAACACTGGTCAAAAAATTTATAAATACCATACTTATCAGATATATGATAAATGTAAAAGTAATATACATGTCTATATACTTATTAGATATTCAATAGGTATCAGATATCTGATAAGTATATCAGGTACCTGATAGGTGTAAAAAATATTTTACTACTTATTAAGTACCTGATATACCTATTGGATATCTGATAAGTATATGAACATGTATATTACTTTTACACCTATCAGGTACCTGATAGGTATAGTATTTATAAATTTTTGACCAGTGAAAAGTAGTACTAAATAAAGTTATATATTTGTTTTAAGAGTTACAAATCTTTATAATTAGTTGCACCTATTTTTGATATTTATTAAATCCAATAGATATTATGATAAAAAGTCAGATTTGATATCTTTGACTAATTTGATTTAAAGTAAAATATTAATATTCAATTTTAATAAAACATATATCATATGATAATCCTTTGTCAGGAAATTTTATTAAAAAAAAATTTATACAACTTGAATTATTCATTGTATTATAATTAATCTTGAAATTTTAATAATAAAACTAGTTATTATTTTTTTTTAAAGTAACCATCCCCCTATTACAAAAATATACATGTTGTATAAGCTGTTGTTTAAATTTATGAAAATATATTATTTTATTTTTTTATATATATTATTATATTAATGAAATACAGTTGGATGAGATATATAAATATTTTCTAATCTTTGATATTCAAGAATAACATTAGGATCTGTAATAAATACTGATTAATCAAGATAAGATATTTGAGTATTGTTCTAGCTTGAACATTTACTAAAAATAATATATACTTATCCAGATGAAAAAATATTTTCATCTAATACAAAACATATTTTTGATAAAATAAGATCTTGTGTTTTATATACAGTTGAAACAAAATAATTTTGTATAGAAAATTGGATCCTGTGACAATTGTATTCATTAATTTCAAAATAATGAGTATATATATAAACCTGAATATTTATTATTGATCTTTTAACTGAAAATACTATCCTAATAGATTAATTTATAAATTAATCTGTAATAATTTTTATTATTCCATTACAAATATTATATTCTATTAAAGAATTGTTAAGGTACATAACAATTGTAAATGAATAGAAGATGATAAATTTGTTTTTGATTTGAAAATTTGTTCAGAATTATAAGTATTCTATAATTTAGAACCTGTTGAATCTAATACTCTTGAAATTAAAATTTTGTTATAGATAAAGGAGTCAAAAATTGGATTTGAAAAAAAAAATATTAATTTTTTTATCAATAAAAAAAAGAATTAATTATTTTTTTTGTTTATTCATTTTTGAATTCATTTTTCATTTATATGGTTTATAGATAAAGGAGCTGAAATTGAATTCAAAATAAATAAATAAATAATAATTAATTTTTTTATTAATAAAAAAAAAGAATTAATTATTTTTTTTTATTTATTTATTTTCAAATTTATTTTTCATTCATTGTTTTTATTAATTCCTATATCTAATAAATTATGTTTCATATGACTTACAGATAAAGGAGCCAAAAATTAACTGAATAAACAATAAACAAATAAAAATTTAAACACATAATCCTTTTTTATTTTTTTATACAAAAGATATTTGTTCTTAGAGAGGAGAGTAGATAGTTTTTAATTGTAATTGTAATGGTAATAGTAATGGTAATGGTAACAGAAATCAATACTTATTATCATTACAATTATAATTAAAGATTATTTTAAAAACAGATTCAATGTTTTTTCTTTTTTGATAAGAAAATTTTGTCAAAAAAAGATATAATAAACAAGTGTTTTGAACATAATCAATACAAATTTACCATTAAAAAAACCACTTAAAACTTGAAAATCCATATCATATTATATTCTAATTTGAAAAAAAATTTAATCTGTTATGTATTTTATTAAAATTTAATAAAAAAAATGTATTATCAAATATTTTATAAAAAATTCTGAAAATAATTAAAATATTGTTACATATCAAAGTTTGTTATTTGTTAACTGAAATCATGTAATTTGTCCTATTTCTTAATCTAAAAATCAAACTGAATTTAAATGAAACAAGAAATTATGTTTATTTTATAACAAATCATGTGACTTTTTAATTTAATTATTACTCATTATTTACTGAAAAAAAAATTATAAAAAATGTAATTATACAATTATCTAATTAAAATTAATTCACATAATTATTAAATCACGTTTTGTTCATCAGTAAATTTTTTAACTATTTACCAATATTAGTTAACAGTACATTGGTTAACATTGGCTAATGTTTATATTGCTAATTAATAAAATGTTGACCAATATTTTTTATTAATAAATTTTTTACAAATGATAATAAACAATATGTTAACTAATGCTAGTTAATACAAATGATTATCAATGATGACATTAATCAACACTAGTTAATGCAAATAATTATTAATAATGATGTTAATATTATTGTTAATAATTATTTGTATTAACTAGCATTGATTAACATTATCATTGATAATCATTTGTATTAACTATCATTAGTTAACATACTGTTTATTATCATTTGCAAAAAATTTATTAATAAAAAATATTGGCTAACATTCTATTGATTAGCAATATAAACATTGTTACTAATTAACCTTTTAAACTAATTTTGTTTTTTAAAAGGTAAGTTACAACTAGCAACTCATAAACAAGAAAAAATATATTTATAAATTGTAAACATAAACTTAACAAAAATTAAAAAAACAAGAATAATTTAATTATCAAATTAATAATAAAGAATTTAGAATTTATGTGATAATTTATTATATTAAATTAAATAATAAATTGAAGTGAATAGTTTAAGAAATTAGAACTACAGGTTAAAAATATTTGTCAGGAAATCACAAGATATTATCAAGAGTTTATTAATGATAATTTATATTCAAAAAATATAAATTAGTAGGAAAATAGTAAAATTTAAATAAAAATATATGTTTATTATAAAATAAATTAATAATTCTATCAATTAGAATTGTTAAAAATTACTAATACAATATCAGATTTACAATTGAGATTATTATCTAAATTTCACTATTTAGAATTATTCAAATCTACTTTGAAATGGAAGAAAAACTTATCCTTTTTATAATAATAAACTTGGCCAAAGACTTGATCAGTAACTAGGCCAATATCTTTATCAGTAAATATATCAATTAGTTGATTATTAATTTGATCAATCAGTTGGTCAATTAGTTGATCACTAAATTGGCCACTATGATCTACATTATTGATTTACCTAATTTGTATTACAATAAATAATAAACAAATAATACTAATAATATATAATAATAATAAATACATAAATAAAATAACAAAACAGATTAATATAATAAAATAATAAAATAATAAAATAATATAAAAAAATAAATTATAATAAAATAGTAATGGAGAAAATCACATGTAACAACATTAACCAATATTAACCAATGTATCATTAACCAACATTGGTTAATATTTAAAAAATTTCTTGATGTTCTACTAGACATTTATTATATAAAAGTCAAGTATTTTTAAGATACTATAAGTTAAGAATGAGTAATTATTTTTTCAAAAAGAGATTGACAATTTGTAATAAATTAACTTAGCTTCAAAATTTCAGCTTCCTTTTTTGATATTACCTCTGTATCACATCTATAACTTTTTAAAAATTATCAAATTCATTACAGTTTTTAGATAATGTATACTTAAACATTAAAAATGATACTAAATATCCTTAAAGTCTGAAATATACTGCATTAACTGAAAAAGTTTCAGATCTATTGCTTAAGAATTAAATAAACAATAACTAATCAAAGTCAAATGCTTGAAAATTATAATCTAAATTTAAATGTTTATTATTTATTCAATTCTTAAGAATAGATCTGAAGCTTTTATGATATAGTAATGTACTATATTTCAAACTTTAAGGTAACTTAATATTCTTTTTAATGTTTTATTAGTAAATAACCAACTTTAATATATAACAACTTTTCAAACTTTAAGGTAACTTAACTTTGATGAGTAATACCTTAACATTTTTAGTAACATAGATTCTATTTCTCTTTTAAAATATTTTTCAATGTAATAAGTAATATGAATAATATGAATAAATGGTATCCTATGTTAAATGTACAAATGTACTTTTGGAAGCATTAAAGTTATTAAATTTCATTTTTTTCAAAAAAGTGATGATTTAGAATTTCATTACAGTGCAAATAACATATATTAATCAAGTATTTGCTTTTTTTTAAGCATTTGCATCAAACAACAATCAACTAAAAGTTTAGGGATTAGTTATCTCCAAGCTAGCAATAAAACAGTTTATGATGGGATAACAGAATTTTACCTTATGTATTTTAATTTAACAAATCACTTTTTTTTTGATAATAAATTAGTCAAAAAAGATGATAGAAAATAAATTAATTAATTATAACTATTTAATCTACTTCTAGAATTACTTTTAAATAAATTAATTCTTTATGTCATAATGTGAATTAAAAATCGAATTATTACTTTTTCCTACTATTCTGTTTTTCTAATATTATGGCATTTTTATTATTATTATCACGGCGAAAATTTTTAAATTGATCGATTTATAATTTCTGCTGAAATTACTGAAACCACATGTTCGTTACACAAAAAAAAATTTTAAAATCTCAACCCATTAAGAGATTAAAACAAAGTTATCGTTAATTTTTAAAATTTTTAACATTTTTCTTTCAATCCATCTTAAGTCTTAAAGTCATTGATCTTATTTAATTATTTTATTAAATTAAGAATAATAATAATAATAATAATAATAATAATAAAGAACGAAGAAAGATAAAAATAAAAGAATAATAATAAATAAAGAAAAGACAAAATGGCAATAAAAAAATCCAAGAAATCTACCGAATCTATTAACTCTCGGCTTGCACTTGTCATGAAAAGTGGAAAATATACCTTAGGTTATAAAAGTACACTTAAAACCCTTCGTCAGGGAAAAGGTGAACATATTATTAGAGATGGAAAAAAAAAAAAAAATAGAATATTTTTTTATAAATATAAAAAGGGACAGGAGCCAATATTGTTTGAATTTATCTTTATATATATATATTTTGTTTTTTAAGTTAAGGTTAAAAGTTAAAGTTACTGTTACAGTTGGCAGAGATAGTCCCTTTTTATATTTAATAAATTTACTAATATTTTATTTTTACCTTTTCCTTTCTCCCCTTCTTTTTTTTATCATTATTATTATAATTATATTAGCTAAACTTGTTATCATTTCTGGTAATTGTCCACCTTTGAGAAAGCATGAATTAGAATATTATGCTATGCTTTCAAAAACTTCGGTACATCATTATTCTGGAAGTAAGTTTGATTAATTTAATTTAATTTAATCCAATTTAACTTATTTAATTCAATTTAATTCAATTTAATTCAATTTAATTTATTTAATTCAATTTAATTCAATTTAATTTATTTAATTCAATTTAATTCAATTTAATTCAATTTAATTCAATTTAATTTATTTAATTCAATTTAATTCAATTTAATTTATTTAATTCAACTTAATTCAATTTAATTTTAAAAAATGGAGGAGGAAAATATAATTAATCTTTAATAATCTTTGGTTAATTGATTAATTTACATTTTTTTTCAATTTTTCTTTTTCGTTGAAATTTTTTAGATAACATTGATCTTGGTACTGCATGTGGTAAATATTTCCGTGTAGGTGTATTAAGTATTACTGACGCAGGTAAATTATTATTATATTTATTCTATTTATATTTGCATCATAAAGTTTATATAAATTTATTATCGTTGTTTTCTTTTGTTGCTATTTCGTAGGGGATTCCGATATTCTTTCAAATACTTCTGGATAAAAGAAGAATTAAAAAGAAATGAAAGAGTAATAATAATAAATTATTAAAAAATATTATTTTTAAAAAAAAATAAAGCGTTTTATTGTTGTTGCATTTGATGATTGGTGATTGGCTAATTTTTATTTTGCTAGTCATGTGAATTTAAATACTAAAAAAAATTAAAAAAAATGATTGGATCACTACCATAGTTTGTAGTTGAGTTCGTTACCGTTACCGTTACCGTTACCGTAGTAAAAGAAGATAGTATATATATATTGTGGTAGTTGATTAGAAGTTGTCACTTCTTTACCAAAATAAATACTGCATACTTTTCTTTTCTCAGAGTGAATCCATAATTAATAAAAATTTGACCCTTGATAATACATATATATCATATAATTCAAGTTAACTTTATCAATTGCGAAACCTCATGATGAGAAAGAAGTATAAGACTAAATTCCCAGTAGTAAGTTTTTTTTTTTGACAATTTAACATAGCGATTGAAAAGTACATTTCTTTTTCTCGTAATTTTTAAAATTAATGAATTTTTTTTTTACCAAAGGCTCGCATCAAGAAGATTATGCAAATGGACGAAGACGTGGGAAAAGTTGCACAAGCCACTCCCGTATTGATTTGTAAGTTTTTCTTTGAAAATTTTTATTTATTTTGTGGATTAATTGAGAACTATAATTTAGTAACATAATAATAATAATAATAATAATATATACCGATGAATTTTTTTCTTTTTGTATATTTCTTTTTATTGATTAATTGATTGATTTATTTAATTTAGCAAAAGCTCTCGAATTATTCATGCAGTCGCTAATTGACCACGCATGTAAAGAAACAAGATCAAGAAATGCAAAGAGGATGTCGGTTTCACATTTGTAAGTAAAAATAATTTAAAATAATTAAAAAAAATAATTATTCTATTTTACATGTTACTAAATTTAATAAATTCTAATTAATAATTAATAATAATATTAATATTAAATGATATTAGGAAAAAAACGATAATGACCACCGAACAATTCGATTTTTTAAAAGATGTAGTAGCAAATATACCAGATCCGGTTGAACCCACCGAAGGAGATGGAGGGACATCATCAACTGCAGTTATTGGCAATAATGATGATGATGATGATGAAAATAATAATAATGGTGAAAGTATTTTAAGTGCTGATGAAGCAGATGATAATAATAATATTATTAATAATAAGAAGAATAAAAAGAATAATAAAAGTAATAATAATAATAACGAGCCTCCACAACCTAAGAAACGGAAAGGTCGAAGAAAGTAAGTTATTCTTTATTTTTTATGACTATTTAATTTCATTACGATAAATAACAAATAATTTATGAATTAATAACCCATATTTTTATTAAAAAAAAAAAAAAAAGGAATAACGACGAAGAAGATTATGAACCTCCCGTTGGTACATCGAGTCCGCCAAAAACAAAACGACGGTAAATTTTTTTTATATTTTTATATTTTATACTTTGCATTCTTTACATTATTTATTTCTTTTGATTTTTTTTTTTTTTTTTATTTTTTATTTTTTTATTTTTTTATTTTTTTATCGGTTTCATTTTCATTTTTTTTTCATTATTAAGTATGTACATTATTATTATTATTATTATTATTGTAGTTATTATTGTTGGTATTCTTATTC